TTTTTTTCTGCTACCAGATGAATAAATAGCTAATAGCATTTTATCTCATTTATTCATTTTTTTTAAGTAGAAATCTAAATAAATATATAATCTAAAATAGATAAAATACTAAATATACATTTAGATTAGAGTTTTATCTTTTCTCATAATGTAGGGTTGTAATATTATTTTAAGACTCTATTTGGCCTGAGCCAAAACTTTAGAGATCCAATTACTTTTTGAAGAAGAGAATCATTTGGCAATTTTTATATGGCAGATGCAAACCTTTCTCTTGCCTACAATGTAGTGTTAATTATTTACCTTTTAAAACTGAAAGTGACTCTGCCCAGTGTGGGCAGTGGATGAATTAATCTTCCTTGGAATTGGTTTTCCCTCAGAAATGCCAATGTTGAAGTTTCTGTACAAAAGGAACAGTGCCTTGCCTCATGGCCAAATCAGGAAGAAAAAGGATTAGGAAAAAAACCTTAGAAAAAAGGATTAATTTGAGTTCTACCCTGCTACAACTGACACAACTCCATGTGAAACAACAGCCCAAATTAGGATTTTATGTGATGGATGCCTGTGCAATATCTGGTGTAGTGTATTTTAAAAATAACAGTTCCAGACACGGTCAGGAGATAAACAAACGGAAAAAAAAAACCCTCTAAAAACACTCACTGCACATGGAGCAGAAGGAGAAAAGCCAGTTAAATGTGGATGGGAGTGGTTTGATCTCAAAAAAAAAATTCAGAGGACTTCAGAACAAAGCTCTGGCTCAGGCTAACCACACTAAACAGCATTTGCTGCCGTGAAATTTCATTTTTGAACTGGCATAAACAGAGAATGGATCTCACCAGAATAAAATAAAAAACCCCAAAAACCTCCCAAGCCAACTTTAAAAATCTTCACTTTCAGGGTGGGGGGACCTTACCTGCTGCATGTTTGTCCCCGAGGGTCTGCTCTGGAGCTCATCCTGGAGGTGCTGACCCCTCCTCTCTGCCTGGAGCAGCTGCTGCTGGAGCTGCAGGAATTGTTCCCTGGGCACCGTGGCACAGCCCTGCTGCTGGGAGCTCTGGCTAAGCATCCCCCCGGACTGCAGCATCTGCAAAAAGGCAAAATTCCACCTTCAGCACCTGCTCCCTCCTCTGTCGGGGCTGCTCCAGGAGCAGCTCGCTCTCCGGTTTCCCATCCGCAAGGTAAGCCTGGGCTCGGTGACAGAGGGTGACAAAAAAGATGGAATTTCACACAAAGGAAGCTGGGCTTTGAGCCATCATTTCAGGCCTGAGTTTTTGATGAATTCCTATCAAAGTTGGGTTGGTGAGCTTTAAGTAGCAATAATTTCCCATTTCGAGGGGAAGGCTGAAGTTGTGCCGACTATTAGTTGTGCTATTTCTAGTCTTTAGGATGGAAAAGGAACATTTATCTCTGACATTATGTTTAGAATTCAGTATATAACACCCTATAGATATTTCTCAATGTTCACACCTAACTGTGGAGACATTAAGAGCTAAGACAGTCATGTGAAATAATTTAGAATTTTTCCAGGCTAAAGCAAAACATAGGTAAGTAACATATATCTCTGATATATGTTCAGAATTCAGTATATAACACCCTATAGATATTTCTCAATGTTCACACCTAACTGTGGAGACATTAAGAGCTAAGACAGTGATGTGAAATAATTTAGAATTTTTCCAGGCTAAAGCAAAACACAGGTAAGTAACTCACAGTTAGTTAGAAGAGTTAATTATACTAAAAATGACCAGAGTTGGACAGTAAAAACCCTTAAGGTTCAGAAAAACTCATTTGCAGCTGGAATGCATATAGCATTAATAATTTCTTTCCATAAAGGTCCTGTTGCCTTAAAACCATTACTCTATTCCCTTAGGAAAAGGTATATAACATTATCTTGGTGATTTTCATTTCCCTTTCACAACTGGCAAAATTATCAATTTGGATAATATTTCAGTTTCTGACTTCATCTCTAACTGTAAATATTTTTTACAATGGCGCAGCTCTTCTGGCCCTGTTACCATCCCTATCTCTGCTGGTCCAGGTAAACAGAAAACATTTATAAATACTGCAAAATAAAACTATTTGTACTTTTTAAAGCCATCTAAGGGTTCTCTGTCTGTAAAGGAGTGTTCTTTTCCTTACAATATAAACAATGAAAATAATGAGCTTTTGGTGGAATTTCTTTCAGGGTTCCTGTCAAGTTGTAAAGCACACAAGTAACTAATGAGGAAATAGTCAATTAGTGTTAGCAGCATCTTAAAAATAATTACTAACGAAACAACAATGAAAACAATACAGCCCTGCTGTTTTCATCTGTGGAAGAAAATGGAACAAAATATGAGGATGATGCCAAGTGGGATCAGAAATTAATTAATTTAAGGAAAAATCATTGGACAGTCTGGTGGAAAAGCATGCAGCCACCAGAGGTAAATGTGCAAACACCTTCAAGCCTCACAGGCAATGGGGTAGCAGGAAGCCACTTTTCATTCTCCCACTTCCAATTTTAATTCTTTTGGAAGCAATGGGGTGACTTGTGTCCATTTTCATGGCAACCCCTTAGGAACATGCAGCTCCTCGGGGTGCAAAACCACACTGCACAACACATTAACCACAAAGAACCTGCTGCAGCTGTCCAAAATTGGCATTGAAATGAATAGTGGCTTCTTTACTTAAGAGATGCATGGAATAAAAAGAAAAAAAAAATCAATTTTAAAAAAAGAAAAAAAAAAAAGAGTGTTTTCTCCATGCTATGGGAGTACATTAAAAATGATTGCTCTACCTTCACACACTATTTCAGAGAGAGAACTGCCCCCTTCTCTGCTAGTTCCAACCACTGAGTTCTAGCCAGGTTAGCCATGGACAAAAGGAGAACAGGCACAAAAGAGAGAGTTAGAAGTCACAAATCACTGAGTGAATGTTGTACATTATCTGCTTGGGAAAAGGTTTCCAGGAGGAACAAAATCCTGCCTGTTTGAAATACACGTTTCAGGAGAAAAGGCAACTCCAGGCTGGGTGTTTATGGGTTTGAGTGCTTGGCATTTTCCCAATGCTTAATTAAGACTATATAAATAAATTCACAAGGAATAAAAACAGTCTTTTCATTAACTTGTCAAAATCTCGTATTTCCTAATTAGGTTTTTACAGTTTTATTACTAATTACATAGGATTTTCAGCCTAATGGCTCCCATTTGATGAAAAACATGAAGCCATTTATGAAGTGTTATAGAAGCCTCATCTAAAAGATGCTCTGACTTATGGAACAAGTCAAAATTGTAGAATTTTTAAAAATGATTGTTATGTTTTAAACTCAAATCCAGGACATCAAATTTAGGCAAGACTACTAAGAGCGAGTTTGGAGGTCTGGGCTGACCTTATGGGACACACTAAACACAAATAAGGTGCCCATTCCTATAAGCAAACACTCCTAAATTTTGATATCCAGTATGATCCATTTCCTGCAGAATTTTTACAGCAGCTTTTGGAAAGAATCTTCACTAAAGTTTTCACTTGTGCCTTTAAATTAAGCTGTGTAAATTGTTTTTTGGTTTTTTTTTTTTTTCCCATGATTTATATAATATTAAGCTCAAACTCAGCAAATCATTCACAGAGGAAATAAGAACAGGTTTCTACATTAAGAACAGCATCACACAAATATTAGATAGGAAATTTGTGGTGACATGTTTTAGGAAGGAAGAGGGAAGTGTCAGCCTTGTCTCGAGTACAGAAACAAATTTCTTTGCTATTTGATTTTATATCTGAAGCCATATGTGAATTATGACTAAGCAAAACATGCTTCAGAGAGCAGGATGTTTGTCACACAACTTGGTTAGGAAAGATGAGATTAAAAATCAGGAGAGGTTAATTCTTCTAGCTTCAATTAAGTTTTCTCGGTCGCTACACATCCATAAGTTGTTTAAAATAAAATAAATTCACTAAAATAGTGATAAAGGCCCACAGTCAACATTGATTGAAAAGTACCTCCATTAACTGATCATCCAGCTTGACTTGCTTTTTTCTCAGCCCTTCGTTTTCTGAGCTGGTTTCCAGTTCACGTTCAAGAGAATTCATCTGACTGATCTATCAGAGACAAAAAGTTTCCTTAGAAAAGCAGCAATTTCTCATTTCATCTGTTCTTCCCCCCTCATGAACCACTGAATACCCAGACAAATCTAAAAACCAGGAGTATTTGGAAAAGTGCTTTGCTACAAGAGCTGTCTCACAGCAGATGCACAGAGCCCTGTCAGCTCCCTCAGACAAAGATTTGTGAGAGGCAAAGAGCACAAAATTCAGAGCAGCAGAAGAAAATTATCTTAGCTGAGAGGTTGGTGTAATTCTGTACCTTTTCAACCCAAGCTGCACTGAAAATTAGATCCTCTACCAATGACTGGTTTCATTTTTATAGTTGATAGGTGTAAATTAATGCATTGTCCACATATTTGGGGGTTTTATTGGCAAAATATTTCTTTTAGGGAAGAATGGAGACCCAAGGGAGGGACTGATCATTGCCTGTTCATATTCCACACACTTAAAATACAGCTTATCCCTTGAACTTCTGAGAGATGGAAACCACTGCACTGAATTGTGTGTCTACCACCCAAAACTCACCTTCCTGTTTGCAGATGACAACTCCTTCTGAAGCTGTTCACACTCCCTCTTCAAGCTCAGCTTCTCCTGCTCGATGGCTTTGACAATCCCTGCCTGGCTTTGGTGCTTTTGGTGCTTTAGGGAAAGGATTGTGGATTCCAGCTGTCGGATCTGAGGAGATCAGGGATGAACAAATGGGAAAAGAAGTTCCAGATGTACATCAAAAGATGTTCTTCTAAAATACCAGTTGATTTTGGAGTCACAGAATCCCAGGATGGTTTGGGTTGGAAAGGATCTTAAATCCCAACCCATCCCACCCCTGCCATGCCAGTGACACCTTCCACTATCCCAGGCTGCTCCAAGTCCTGTCCAAGCTGGCCTTGGATATTTCCAGGGATCAAAGGGCAGCCACAGCTTCTCTGGGCAACTCTGGGGTATTTTGGACATATTTGCTTTGATATCTTGGCCTTCTTTCCCTTCACCCTCCCCATAATCCACTAAGAACTGCGAGCCAAGAAATTGCACAAAAGAACGTTAGGAATATTAAGAATCTTTTTGTTAACTTGAAGTTGGACTGAAACTTGGACAAGGACTGGTAGTCCTTGTCCAAGGTTTCAGTCCAACTTCAAGTTAACAAAAAGGTTCTTAATATTGGATTTTAAAGGATTTTAGGACTGTCTTTTAAAGAAAAGAAGTATCCTGGGAGTGTTGTGGAGTCTCATTCTCTGGAGATATTCAAAACCTGCTTGGTTGTGGTCTGAGTGACCTCCAGAGCTCCCAAGCCAGCTCTCCTGTGATCTGCCAGCTTGCCCAGCTTACCTTTTCCCTGGAGTGAGCCAGGTCTGTTTTAGTGCTCTGCACTTCCCTCTGCAGCCTCTCGTTCTCCTGCCTGAGCAGCCTCTGCTCCTGCTCATCCCAGTGGATCAGCCCCTGCTGGTCCTGCAGCCCTGAGGGAGGCACAGCCACTTCCAGAACCCGGTTCTTAAGACAGACAGAATTGCAGGGTTAGGCCTTCAACAAAGAAGCAGACATTTGCTCTACTCAGGTGGGTTTTAGGTGGATTTTCGCTAAGTGCAGGCTCCAAAGTTGCAGCATTCCCATCTCCCTCCCAGCCTACTCGCTGTTTTCCCTTAAGAAATCCAATGGGAAAATCCCAAGTGCTTCCCTCTACTCAAATGATGGATAATAGCTGTGTGCACAAGGAGTGCACAGAGTTCAGCAACACAAAAAAAGCAATTTATGCTCTCTTTAGGGCCAAACAGAACTGAGTATTGTATATTATGCACTAATAGCTGTAATTTAGCTCCTGTTGTACAATTCTGAAACAGCCTCTTTTCCACGTGGACATTAAATATTCCTTAATTACACGGCAAACAAGCCAAATTAGTAACTGAAGTCATAGCAGCAATCCCAAGACTGCTGTCTACAACCTCCTTCAGTTACAAATCCTCATTAGCCGAGAGGTTGGTGTAATTCTGTACCTTTCAAAATCAAGTTGCACTGAAAATTAGATCCTCTACCAATGACTGGTTTCATTTTTATAATTGATAGGTGTAAATTAATGCATTGTCCACAGATTTGGGGGTTTTACTGGCAAAAGGTTTCTTTGAGGGAAGAATGGAGACTCAGGAGAGGGACTGATCATTGCCTGTCCACGTCCAACACTTAAAATACAGTTTTTAAAAATCACCTTAAAACCTGCACATGATATCTAATACCCAATAATTACAGCTACCTCCTGAGATGCCTGGAGCCCTTTACCTTTTCACTGGTGCTCTGCAGCTGTTTGTGCAATGCCATCACTTCTTGTTTCAGACTTTCCTTCTCCTGCTGTGTCAGCTGCAGGTCAGATTTCAGCCGGGACATTTGGAGGTTGGTGCTCTGCAGAGTTTCATTGAGGCTCTGAACCTGGAGGGAACAGGAGCACAGCTTGGCTTTTGCTGGATCAAGATTCCCTGTGTGGATCAGGTATCCCAGGTATTTAGGATTCTCTGATGGAAGGAGTGAAGTTAAAACAATAGTTTCCTCCTTTGAAAATGTTAAATTGAATTTATTGCTCTCTACTCATCCCTGACAGGAAGGTGGAGCTGAAGGGGGTCAGGCTCTGCTCCTGGGGAGCAAGGGACAGGATGAGGAAACAGCCTCAAGGTGTGTCAGAGGAGGTTTAGATTGGATATTAGGGAAAATTTCCTCATGGAAAGGGTGTTTGAGCATTGGCACAGCTGCCCAGGGCAGTGCTGGAGGAATGGTTGGACTCAATCTTATAGGGATTTTCTACCCTTAAAACTCTATGATTCCAAATTATTTCCCAACTTTCTGTTCCAAGCTCGCAGCCACCCACTTTGGATAGAGCCACAATGCTGCATTCACCAGAAACATCTTCCAGCCCTGAGCATTTACTGTGATATCCTGGAAAGAAGCTTTCCCTTGAATTGTTTATTCTTCCTGGCAGGAATTCCTCCTACTCCAGGAATGCTCAGTCAAGCAGGGAACCACTTGATCCCATCCCTGCTTGGGGAAGGATGAGCCTGCACCAGGACAGAGGAGCAACAGCAGAGTCTCTGCAGCATTTTAGGAATCACCAGGCAGAGGGAACTGGCAAAAGTAACTTGGCTGTAGAGAGAAAAATCCCTCACTGTGTGCAACAAGTTTCCTTTTGTCCTTTAAGAACCTCACTTTGAAAGCCCCTCAAGCAGCCATTCTCATCAGGAGGGGCTTTCATGAGAAAAAGCACTACAGGAGATGATCAAAATGCTTTTATCCAGAGTTAGAACATAAATCAGTGTTTCATACCTTGTCCTGGGAGAGGCTGAGCTGTGCTTTCAGTGCCTGACTCTGCTGCTCCCAGGATTTCTGCTCCTGCTTCAAGCTGCCAATTGCACTCTCCAGGCAGCTGACTTGAGCTACCTGCAATGAGATTACATCAGAAATCCTCACTCAGGAATTTGTTTTTGACTCCGTTTGACTTCATGGGCTACCCTAGAGGGAGTTAAAGCTAAGGAAGGAAGGAAGGAAAATGCAGGAAAGCAAAAAGCCTCTCAGTTCCCTAAATTTCCACACAATGGGATTATTATTTACAGTGTGCAGACTGCTCTGCTCCAGTTCAGAGTTACAGTAGGTTAGAGAAGCAATAAAAGTCCAAGAACACTGTCCTCCTTGTCCTGCTGCAGTATTTATATCCAGGCCTCTCTTCCTTGCAATGTTTGGAATTTTCTACATAATCAAATTACAGTGAAGCTGTGCTCCAGAATTTAAGCTTTCCTCTCTAAGACCAGCTTAAAGAAAAAAATAAAAAATCCAAGCAGTGGCAATTAAGCCTTTATTTAGCTTGAGGGTGAGGAAAGAACATCCAGAGAAGTTTTACAGGTTAAGTTAATAAAGATACAGGAATTTTAACAGCCCTTTAGAGCACATAGTGATGTGGATTTGCAGTCCTTTCTTACCTTATCAATGCATCTGTTCAGTTCCTCACTCAGGGCTTCTTTCTCTTCCTGCAGCTTTTCATTTTTAGTGATTAAACTTGAAACTTCATTTTGAAGGTCAGAGAGATCAGGACACCTGGGCAGCTGTGGGAAACAAACCCCTCACAGTCGCACTTTTAGGCTGTCACAGAATTTGGCATGAAAATCAGGGGATGCCCAAATGGTTTGGGTTGGAAGGGGCCTTTAAAGGTCATCAAATTCCAATCCCTCTGGAATAAGCAGGGACACCTTCCACTATCCCAGATTGCTCCAAGGTGTCCTTGGACACTTCCAAGGATCCGGGAGCCTGTGCCAGAGCCTCACCACCCTCACAGGGAAGGATTTTTCTGTAATATCCCACGGAAATCACCGTGTGTTAAAACACACAGAGGGAAAACCACTGCACTGCTGCCTTCCAATGCTTTTCCCAATTGTCCCTGTGCTTTATCACTGCCTTTTCCTCATTCCAGCTCCTGTAATTACACTCCAGCCACAATCCTCTCCTTTCTGAATAGGCCTCAGCTGCTTTTGCTTTTTAACACCATTATCTACCCTGAGCACTGGGTGCCTCAACTGAGTGTTTTACAGTGTGCAGAAAATGACTTTGTGGAGCCCTAATCAGGGAATTACTCATTTGAAGCCTTCATTATCTGTTTTTATTAGCATATATTTACAGGCAATTGAGCTGTGCTTGTACAGGAGATAACTGAGCTCTCCAGGAAATTATCCTCAGACCTTGTGAGACTCCCATATCTCCAGATGGGTTTAGCAACAGGAATTCTCCCTGACAGGACATGCTGGAAGAGCTCACTCTCCTTAAATGGAGCTAAAATGGGTTATCTCCAGTTAAACAGGGAAATGTTCTCCTGTGGATCCCACTTGCCCTGTCTATTCCTTAATTAGAGTTTAAATCTTTATCTTGACCAGTGCTTCTCTTTGTAGATCCACTACTCCCAAAAATCTTTTGGCAAAGCCTAAGTGAACCCAACTTTATTGGAAGAATTGTGTGTTGCACCTGGAAACTGTTTGAAGAGGAGTTACATTCCCTTACTTTTATGACCTTTCTTTAAAGAAATCAACTACTTCCACCTCTTAATTTTCATCCATTAAGAGATGGTGAAAATTTCATCCATTAAGAGATGGTGAAAATTTCATCCATTAAGAGATGGTGAAAATTTCATCCATTAAGAGATGGTGAAAATTTATCTGACAGCACTCAAATAGAATCCCAGAAGAGCTTGGGGTTGGGAGGGACCTTTAAAGGTCATCAAGTTCCAATCTCTCTGGAATAAGCAGGGACATCTTCCACTCTCCCAGGCTGTCCCAAACCCCACCCAAGCTGCCCTTGGACACTTCCAGGGATCCAGGGATGGCCACAGCTCTTCTGGGCAATAGGATGCCAAACCTGTTTTGTCTTCTCCAGCTCCTGCTTGAGGATGTGGTTCTCCTGCTCCAGTAGATGAGCTTGAACCTTCATTTTTGACAAGTCCATCTCCAAAGACGACACCATATTTGATGACTGCAAAAAATAAAAGGCTCAGACTTTAATTTAGGAGAGTCACAGAGCAAAGTTTAAGCAGAGGATGCTGCAGCCCCTGGATAGAGCTGAGACAGCACTGGATGAACAGCAGCCACGCTGGGAAGTGCAGGGAAATATTTGGCATCACCAAGCTGTGTTTTCAAGACAAACCTGCACATTTTTCCCTCCTGGCTTTTGGCTGCTGCTGTGTTTAAGCCAGCACTTAGCAAAGCTCAGCTTTGAAATCCCATCCCAGGACAGAGATGCCAATTCCAAAGCCCCTGAAGTCCAACTGTCCTACCAAATCCTGTACCTCGATTTTGGAGTTTTCCAGCTCCTCTTTCAGCAGCAGCCTCTCCTTTTCCCACTCTTCCAGGGTACACTTCCCCTCTTCCCTTTCCTTTTGCTTGAGCACCCTTGCCAGCTGTTGATTGAGATCCTGCACATCTGCTTGGTTTTTGGAGTTCCTCTGGCTGAGTTCTGTATTTTCAGAGTCCAGCTGTTGGTTCCTGGTCTTCAGATCAGCCACCTGAGTGGGGACAGCAGTGATTTGACACCAGGAATGAGATTTTGGATATTCCCTTTCTATTATGGTCTGACAAGTCTCACTCTGACAAGTGACTCCAAACAAATAATTTGTCATAATTAGAGACCAATCATATCATACCAGTCACCCAACACAGCCCAATTTGCTGGTGTGGATTTTGAGGGTTATCCTAACAGATTATTCTGAGCAACTATTTTCCTAAGCAATACCAAGATGGCATGGATGTAATAGGTTATTTATCTTTCTATTTCACCCATTGTAACAAGCCACCCCTAAAATAAAAGTAGCAGCCACATGGATACAAATGGCAGAATTCTTAGACCAAGCCAGCTGGGAAACAAGCAGAGCTTGAATCACAATCTCTATTTCCCATGGGTTACTGCAGAGAATTGCATAAAAACTACAAAACAAAAGGTTTAAACTTTGTATTGCTATAAAATAAACTTCCCAAGTTGACTGTGGAAAGTGCTCTCAGGCCTGTAAGCTGGATAATTACAGCCTGTGTCTTATGAGCAGCTCAAGCAAACCTCAAATCACCCCCAAAGAAGTAATAGAACAGTCATCAGAACATTTAAATTTATAAAATGCTTGTCTGCAGCTGTCTTTGTGACTATCGAAGGAACAGCTTTGATGCAGTGATGGTTTCTACAGAGAAGTTTCTGGGCTCAGGTCACACACCTGCTTTTTCAGGTTGTCCACCATCTTCTGCACAGCCACTTTCTCCTTTCTCACAGCCTCTATCTTCTGCCTGTGGGAAAATGAAAGCTCATTAACACTAAAATCAATTATCAACATACACAACTGCAGGATTGCACAGGAGAACATCACCTCAAGTTGTGCCAGGGGAGGTTTAGATTGGGTATTAGGAAAGGTTTCTTCACTGCCCAGGGCAGTGGTGGAGTTCCCATCCCTGGAGGGATTTAAAATCCATGTGGATGTGGCATTTGGGGACATGGCTCAGTGGTGGCCTTGGCAGTGCTGGGTTAATGGTTGGACTTGATGATCTTGGAGGTCTCTTCCAACCTTAATGATTCCAAAAATGAGCTGTTTTTTTAAACACTACCAGAAATGGTAACTGTGGATATTTTTAAATTTATTGCTCAGCATCCCTGTTCTGCATCAACTTGGCAAGTGCTCAGCCTCTCAAGGTGCCCCATGTGGGATTTTCCTAGAGGGGAAGAATAATCTCAGGATCATGGATGGTTCTGCACTTGCCAAAGACCCAAGCACTGGAATAATCTGTCAGATGAGCCCCTCCCTGCCTTTGCTGAAGCACAAATAATTGCATCAGGTCAGCTCCCAAGGCAGTCCTGTGTGTGTTACTGGGTCACCTCGATGCCTGCAGCTAAACCCCTGCCTGGCTCTGGGGATGGGCAGGACAAGCTGGGGCAGGGAAAAGGATGAGGAACAACCTGACAACCTGCTGGATTTCCAACAGCACCACAAAATAACCCCATTTTGCATCTGTACAGCACCTAACACACGAAGGAGCTTGGAGAGAAGGGATGAACCCATTGTGGCTGAGCCACGCAACAGCCTGAAGGCGTCACAGGGTGCATTCCCCTTGGAATTCTCACCTCATTTCTTCCCTGGATCCATTCAGCTCCCTCAGTTTCAGGCTGGAAGCGCTCCCTTCCTCATTTAATAAAGTCACTTCGTTTTTCAGGACGGCGTTTTCCTCGCGGAGCTTCTCGGCCTCACACCTGTGCCAGAGACAGGAGACAAGTGAGAAAATTCCTGTAGGACACCTGGAGAGGGAGAGAGTCCCCCAAGTCAGAGCTACCTGTAATGCTTCAAAAACAAAGCTACAATTGCCTTGTTTTATGTATAAATGGTATGTTTATATTGTACATCAATTCAGCAGGAGCGCTCCCCCAGTTTGTTCAAAAAACCCCACAATTTTACAACAAACTTTAAAAAAACCCTGGGATTTCAGGGCATGTTCTTGAGCAGCTCAAATGAGTTAAAATCTAAAGCTTGACACTAATATTCTACATATTTTTCAGTTCTTAAGCTACAAATAACAACTGAACACCACAATATACAGATTGCCAGGAGAGTGAGCTGTTTCCCCAACTGGAATTCAGAATTCTGGGAACAGCACAGTTGGAAAGTGTCTTTTCTGTCCTCAGGAGACTGCACAGAAATAACTTAGCCACGGTGGGACACCTGAAAGAACAATTTCCTGCAGGAAGCTGGTGCTGAACAATAATTAAACCACTTGTAGCCACTTTATCCATATAAAAAAAAAAGAAATCCTTGCTGGAACACAGCAGTTAAAAAAAGTAGGTAAAACCTATGATGAGTGTAATATCATGAATATATGTTTTATAACTATATTGAACATACCCCACTCCTCAAGGGTTTCCTAACTGGGAAATAAAGTCCCTATAATTCTCTAATATTAACTTAAATCCTGAGAAAAATATAAGCACTTTTAGCATTTCAAATTACCATAATTCTACAGCATTCACCGAAACACTGAGGAAAAACAGGAGCAATTTTAGCCTTGCGAGCAACATTCAGCTCTAGAAAAGGGAACAAACCGAGTGAAGTGAATATTAGTGAAAGCTACAAAGCACTCTGGAAGTGTTACCATGGAATTTGGACATGGAAATAACAATGGGTTGGTGCTGGAGCTACACACGGTGACGGTGACATCCACACACAGGACAGTTGGCAGGTGCTCCTGCTTAGGTGGCGGGCACAGGGAGGAGTAAGTCACACACAGCTATTTATTCCAGTGGTCTTTATCCACGATTAGAGGAGTTAGGAGTCCACAGCACTGCTTGCTACTCAGAGTTAAATCAGAGTTAAACTAGGGTGGTTAAAGGAGCAGCCGAGGCAGCGCTGGGTTAGTGGCTAACGTCGCGTTACGTTACCTCAGCAGGTCAACCTTCTGCTGCAGCTCAGTGCACGTGCTCTGCAAGCCCTGGGTCACTGCCCTCCTCTCCTCTGGGTGAGCCAGAGCCTTCTTCTTCACCTGGGGCTTGGGCTCCCTCATTCCTGCTTTTCCCACCTGTGGTGCGGCGCCGTCGCTCTGGGGATTCTTGTCCTGCCGGCCCGTGAACGCCGTGGGATGTTCTTCCAGCTTCCCACCTCTCCTCTCACTCAGCACATCTGCATTTCCTTGAGCATCTTGTTCTCGGACTTCCTCCAATCCTTTCACATCTCCCAATTCTTTAACATCTCCCAATCCTTTAACATCTCCCAATTCTTTAACTTGCACAAGGAATTTGGCGTTTTCATCTTCAAACTCTACGCTTTTCACCTCGCTTTCTTCTTGCTCACGACAAAGCCTTCTCAGCCCACGCAGGTTGTCTTCCAGCGCTGTATTTTTTTCAATTAACTGCATGACTTCAGCTTTCAGATCCTCGTTTTCTAGCTGGATTTCTTCTTGCAGGGACAGAAGTTCAGCCTGTGCCATGGATCTGTCTTCCAGCTCTTCCATCCTTTTCCAAAGTTGAGCTATTACGCTCTTCAGGTCACCGTTTGCTGCCCCAGGAGGGTGATCCAGCATGAGAGAGTCTTCACTCAGTTCTTCAGCCCTCTCCAGCTCCACCTGCATCTTCAAAGCACCAGAAACAAACCCTTTATTTTTGGGAGCTATTCTGTGATTTAGCAGATGAACCTTCTGCTGTGTGACATTGCTGTGTAGCGCTTTTGGCCTGGGAACTTCCTCCAGCTCTCTCTTTTTTGGCAGCAGGGGTACCCAAGAAAGGTTTTTATCACAATCCTGGTTGCCATCAGCATCCAGAGCTGCCTGACTTCCCTGGATCCAACATTCCTGTGCCTCAGGGTGGCCACCAGCGCTGGCTTTCACACATCCCTCCTCCAAATCCCAATCTGCCTCTGACATTTCTTCCAGGTCTGTAGTACCAGCCTCCAGGGCTGGAAGGACACTGAAATCTGCTCCCACGGTTACATCTTGACAATCACTGGGCAGCCCTTCAAAACTGGGATCCATCTCCTCTGGTTCTGAGCCAGACTGGGAGCAGCTGGCACTGGGAGGTTGCAGCTCCTGCTCTGCTGCTTCCAGCCGGTGCTGCAGCCTCAGGATCTGGGCAGCCATCCTGACATTCTCCTTCACTGCCTGCTCGTGCACCTTCTGCAGGTTTTGGAGAACATCCCCATCATCTCCCAGAGGAGCTGCTCCAGGAAAAGCAGCGATTTGGCTCTTGGCTTTTGCGTACTCACTCTCCAGGACCCTGTAATGGCTCTGCAGGGCAGAAAAACTCCGTGTTTCCCACTGCAATTTCTGTATTTTCCCTCGGAGGTCTGAGACTTCCAAACCCATCTCGGCCTTTTCTGCCTCTGCTCTTTCACAAATGTCTCTGTTTAAACTCTCCAAAGCAAGAAGTTTGGAATTGAGCTCTTCTTTCTCTCGCTTATACTCACTGTCCAGTCTCTCCAGCTTCTCCCTAACCAGTTTCCCATTTTGCTCCACTGTGGATATATGTTCATCTTTCTCCTTTAGCTCTTTTTCATGGTCATTTTGGAGTTGGCTTATTTTCTCCTTCATCTTTTCCTCTTGCTCCTGAGCAGCATTCCTCAGCTCCCGCAGCTCCTTCTCCAGCTGCTCCCTCTCACACACCAGCTTGTTCACTTCTTCCTTGAAATTCTTCTCCAGGAGATCCTTCTCCTGGGTCAGGGCACAACAAACAGCCTTCTCACTTGCCAAGCTTTCCTTCAGCTGCTCGTGGGCTTCAGCCACCTCCTGAGCAATTTCATCCCTTTCAAACTCCCACTGGGATTTCTCCTCTCTTTGCTGCTCAGCAAGTTCCTGCAGCTCTCGCTGGTAACGTCCTTCCAAACTCTGGAGGGTTTCTTCATATTTATTCACAAGTGTTTGTGTGTCCACAGAAAACTGAGTTTGTGCATGAGATGCTCTTCTGTTATAGTCACTTGCCATTTTTTTCCTAGACATGGTTAACATAAGATATTACTAAACTACCTCAGAGATTAAAGTGGCTTTTTAGGCTGAATAAAACAAGTTGGAAATGTACCTTTTTTGTTTTTCCACATCCACTATAGGATGGGTGTTTCTGGGAGCTGTAAGTTAAACTCGAGGCAATTTGTAAGTTAAACTCGAGGAAACTTCAAAAAGAAAAACTGCCTTGGAAAAGTGCAACAACTCATGAAACATCCTCAGAAAAGGTTTCATGTGCAATACGTGCCTTTCAGTTCCTGTGCTCAGATTTTGGGGGGGCAGATGCTCTCACCCCCATCACCCCAGGGTGGCTTCAGTTTCTTTTGACACTCCACGTTGGCTAAAAGCACTTCCCTGCCACCCCTTTCCTTCTTCAGCAAAGAACTCTGAAAAACCCCAAATTTTAAAGGGATTTGTGGAGCACAGGGATCCTGAACAGAGCTCGAGTTAATCACGCCTGGTTATGCTTTAACATTATTGCTGCCTCTGGGCGAGCTAAAAATTAATCTATATCTGCTTGAGAAAGGTCAGAAGAGAAGAAACCCTGGAGAGCAGCCCAGTGCTGTGGAACAGAGCAGGAACAGCACTGGGCAGTCAGGACACTTGGAATTCCCCACCAGGGAAGTGTTTCTGCACTGGGTTCACCTCGGTCACCAGGCTCCAGCACTGTCCCCACCCGAGGTGACACTCACCTTTCCTCCTCCAGCTCCTGCTGGTGCTTCCTCAGCAGCTCTTCCTGGAGCTCCTCCTTCTCCAGGGCGTGCACCTCTGCCAGCCTCTTCAGCTGCTGCTGGAAGCCACGTTCCAGCTCCCCCTTCTCCTCCTGCAGCGTCTGCACCACAACTCTCATCTTTTCTTCCACCCAGACACTGTTTTGGATCAGCTCCTCCCTTTCCTGCCTGAACTTCTCATTCGCCTGCTCCAGCCTGGCCCTGACATCCTCCTCATGCTCCTGCCTCAACAGTTCCTGCAGACTGGCTTTCTCCTCATCGAAATGCATTTGTAATTTGTTTTTCTCCTCGTTGTATTTACAGTCCAGCTTCTCCTGCTGCTCCCTGAACGCGGCTGTCTCTCCCTGCAGCTCTGCTATCTGATTTTTAAGGCCAGTGATCTGATTTTCCATGACATTCATCTCCTCAGCATACTTCTGCCTCATATCCTCTTGCTCCTTCTCCCAGCGGGCTTTTGTCTCATCCAGCTGCTTTTCATAATGGCTCACCTGCAGAAGGGAAAATGGGATGGATTTGTTCATTTTCCACAGAATATTCTACAGGGATGTTTTCCTCAATATTTCCATCTAGTTTTACATATTCATTCTACCGGATATTTTGATTTAAACTTCAGCATCTTATATTTATTTCCCTGGAAAAGAATGCGTAAGTGCTCAGCTTTATTTCTTACTGGGATAATAGAATCCCAAATTGGTTTGGGTGGGAAGGGACCTTAAAGACCATCTCATTCCAGCACTTACTGTGTGTTCAAGCTCCTGTTTGAGGTGATGCAGATCCCTGTGGTGTTGCTCCTTCATCTGCTCAATGGCCATTTCTGCCTCTATGCTCATATTTAATGGGTTGCAGTCTTCTGAACCGAGTCCTTTAGAAATAGTAATCAAGTAATAATTTTTATAAATATAAAAGCATGAATTATACAATACATAAATAGATAAAATTCTCAAAAGAATTATTTCATCAGTTCAAATTTGTTGAGCAGCTCTCAAACTCCCATCACAAACACAGCCAAGTAACTGCAAACTTCCACTTCAGCTTCAAATTTGGTCCAGCAGCCACAGTCCAAATTAACATTAACCTCCAAATTAGAGGTGGTGGCCAGGCCTCACTGGGAAGGTTTTCATGGAATGACCTCTAAGATGTTATGAAGAGCTGCAGCCCAGATCTGAGTCCTACAGGAGGGATTTCTTTACCTTGGTCAGGCTCAATCCCGCCGTGGCCGTGACTCTTCATGTCAACGTCAAACTCCTCCGACAGGGAATTCCTCAGGGCAGGCCTGAGCGCTTTGCCTTGGGCACGGTGCTCCTGCAGCTCCGAGTGCAGCTCATCAATCTGGTCCTGCAGCTCCTGACAGCGAGGGCGACAAAAAAAAGCTGAGTGAGAAGGAGCCAAGGCTGCTGAGCACTGACCCGGCCCCACCACAGGACATTCAGGTGGGAATTAAAACTTGTCTATAACCCAGAGTGCCACAGCCGAAGGGGGAATGGCTTCCCACTGCCAGAGGGCAAGGGTGGATGGGATATTGGGAAGGAATTCCTGGCTGGTGAAGTTTTAACAGGAGCTCCAGGGAGTTTTCTCTTTATTCCCTCTTCCTGCTGCTTCCATTTTTTATTTTTCAGCTATATTTTTCTGCAATCCATGGAGGCTTGAGTGTTTTTTCCCAGGCAAAACAAGACAGCTGGAAGTTTCTGAGGGTGGGGAGGCCCTGGAATAGAATTCCCTGAGAAGCTGTGGTTGCCCCTGGATCCCCAGGTTGGACATTGGGGCTTGGAGCACCCTGGGATGGTAGAAGGTGTCCCTGCCATGGCAAGAGGTGGAACAAGATGGTTTTTAAGGTCCCTTTCAATCCAAACCATTCTGGGAGATTCTCTGATGATTCTACAATACCAAACTCTCAAAGGTGAAGGTTTAACAGGAGCTCCAGGGAGTTTTCTCTTTATTCCCTTTTCCTGTGACCTTTTATTAAAAAGCAGCTTTAGTAACATTTCCAAACAGTTGGGAAATGCCTCCTCAAACACCATCTACTTGAAAAATCAAATCAGAAGCAAAAGATCAAATTAGGAAAGAGATCCCCTCATTACTGTATTTACCATCTGGTCCTTCCTCCTGCCTGCCAGAGGAACATCCCCAGGGTTTGTGCCAAGAGCTGTGCACTCCACTCCAGGAACAGCAGTTATTGAGGAAAACAACTCCCTCAATGTGCAAACACAGAATCCTGAAAGGCCCAGGAAGTGAACCTTGAGTACCGATTTACATCTGCCATCCTCAAAAGGAGAAAAATCAGCTGCATATCGAGAAGTATTGATTCAACTCCTATTTCTAGACAATTTTTGCTTTTAAACTGCAGCTTCCTAAGAGAGCTGCTGTGCTGTTTCCAATCCAACAGCAAAGGCAGCTTTTTATTGAATAGAAATCATCCTGCAGAACAGAGTACATAATTACAAAATGGTTTGGGTTGGAAGGGATTCCCAAGATCATCCCATTCCACCCCTGCCATGGCAGGGACACCTTCCACTATCCCAGGGTGCTCCAAGCCCCACCCAACCCAGCCAGGGACACTTCCAGGGATCCAGGGGCAGCCACAGCTGCTCTGGACAACAGATGAGCAGATATCAGAAAGCAGATGTGTAAATGGAAAACCTGCAGGCTCACCCTAAAGTCTTTTAAGTCCACAAGATGGAAGAGAAAGCAAACTTTCTATTCTCAGGTGTATTTAAAAACAAAACAAAACAAAACGGGTCTGAATACCAGCAAAATGTGGATGTATCTTATTTCTCCTCTATGTTCCTGCAACTCTGAATTCACAGGGCTCCACGGATCCTCTCCCAGCCCACAGCTCAGCCAGTGGGTTCTGTGGGAAAAGCTTTCCAGCCTGCCTCGTGCTGCTGTTGGCAGTGAGGATGTGGCACCTGGGGAATGCTTCGTGCAGGGCTTGGCAGTGCTGGGGGAACGGCTGGGCTCAATCTGAGAGGGATTTTCCAACCTAAATGGCTCTGGGATGTTCCTGGTGGACGCAGGAGCCAGGGCTCAGCCCCACTTACCCTGCACTGCTGCTCGTACTCGCTCCTCATCTGGGCCAGCCTCTCCTCCTGCAGGAAAAACTCTGCACTGGTGGGATCCAGGTCACCAAACTGGAACACAGGAATGGAATGTCCAGTTATCCACCCACCCTGCAGCCCTGCTCAGGACAGCATGGGTGCCGTTCCAAGCAGCCCTGCAGCCTGCACTCCCCTCTCTCCACTCTGGGTTTTTATTTTAAATAAAGAAAGTCTGCTTTCCTCCTAGCAGGGAATGAGTAACTTCCCCAAAAAACCTGTCTGCCATCTAGCACAGCTCTCGTGCTCATTCTGATTCCAGATCACAGCTTTCTACCTTAGCATATGCACATCTCAGTGTGGTAAATAATGCCAAGTTTTAAAGAAGGCTGGAAATCCCAATATTTGAACCTTAGGCTATGGCTGCACGAAGTTAAACATCTTTGGAGAAGCTGATATTCTGAAAGTTTAAATGTAATATAGCCATGAACAGCTGGTCATCTCGATTTTCACCTATTTCCATCAGTGATGCCATGTCAAACCTCACTCCTCCTGCATCATCTTTTCCCTGGAAAGGACCTGCAATGTGGACCCATCCAAAACTCTGTGCTGGGAAAAAAGAAATCCCTGCAGATCTGCAGGATGATTGCTTTATTCTAAGGCTCCCTGCTTTAACTAGAATAAAATTACAGTTTAAGGTGGAATATCTGTATTTTCCTTAGGTGGGAGGCAGTCCATGTCACCAAGGCAGGCTGTGCCTGGATAATCTGGATAGAGACCCCAAGAGCCTCTGTTAAACTGGCAGCTAGAATGTAGCAACTCAAAAGTGATTTAATTCTGAAACCCCACCGGGAAAAGGGGGATTTTACCTTCTCAGCCAGGACATTTTCCAGGTTCCTCTGCAGTTTGCTTGCCAGACTTTCACACTCAGCCAGTTTTTCTCCCGTTTCCAAGAGCTCGTTTTCCAGGCGGCTGTTTTCCTGGACCAAACAAAAAAACCCACAACAGATCAGCACTTGGAGGAGGAAAAATCACGTGTTAACTCATCAAAATAAGGGTAACTCTCAATTAAGACAAAGCATGACATATTTCAAGCTTCAGGTGATGACAGGAATTATGAATCCACTCACACACAACCCACTCCTGCCACAGCGAGAGTGAACACTGGATTTTGATAAATGATGAAAAGGCTTAGCAGCAAGTTTGCTTTGGATGGTCTGTTTGTTTTTAAAAGAGGATTTTAAACTCGATCGAGATGTTTTATCTCCTGGCTGTGCACACACACACACACTCTGCATGTGATGGCAGCAGAGATTTGAACTGGAGGTTAGGAATCCATGAACAACCCATCGAGGTGCCCCAAACACCAATTCTCATGGACACTCCTCTCTGTCTTGCTGCTTCAATGACTTTTGGCTAAGTCATAGCTCAACATAGCCCAGAACTCATCCTTTCAACATGGACTGCAAAGTCACTCCCCTTCCCAGAGTATTCCTGGTTTTTTGGGGGAAATCCTGCCTATGCTTAGTCCCTGTTACCTTCAGGGCCAGGGCCAGGCGGTCTCTGATGTAGTTCTCATCCGTTTTCAGCTTTTCAATCTCCTGCTCCAGCTCCAGCCTCTGTTTGTTGGCCTGCTGCAGGATCTGCTCCCGCTCTCTGTGCAGCTCGTTCTTCAGGGCACCCACT